ATAAATGGTGATAGAAGAAGACTTGACTCGGGGTGGTAAACACACAATACAATGCATCAATGATGTATTATGAAATTGTATGGCTGAAACCCATAAATTTTATTAATCAATGTCATCCCAATAAAGTCAATAAAATAAATTTTTAAAATAAATAAATATAATGAAAATATAAAGAAATAATTTGATAATGCTGCCAGTGTATGGAATAAAGAACTTATCACTGTAAATGTCTATATTAATACATAAGAAACAGAGATTAAGAGAAATATAATAAAAATCTCTGAATTCCTTTAAAGGGAAAGCAACCCCCAAAATATAGAAATAGAAAAGCCAAATAAAAGTCATAAAAATAGAAAAGATACAAAGGGACATTTGGTGAACAAACTAATAGCTGTTTCATTGAACTATTAATAGAGTTTTTGGCCAAATGACTTACAAAAAAAGAAAAAACACAAAATAAACAATAAATCATAGATGAAAAAAGTGGGTTTTTTGACAAATTATTCAACTCTTTATCATACATAAGACCAGAAGTGTTTTAATAACAAATAGAAGAGAAATTCAAAACATTTATGGTTGTGTGCCCTTCTCTGTTTCTGTAGCACCCTGTATATATCTCTATGAAAACATTTATTTTACTATATTTTAATCATATATTTATATGTCTGTCTTATTGTATTAACCATGCTGCTGTTGGGAAACAGATGACACACTCCAAAAGGTCTTATTGAAGAGACTAATACAGGGGCTATTTGTAATAATACTCGCAGAATTAAGGGAACCAACAAGGGAGGCTGAAGCACCCTGGGGCTACCAACAGCAACAAGTCAATATCTTCCCAGGACTAAAGGGCAAGGAGCAGGAATGGTGTTAGGGGAGCGTGGCAAGAACTGGGGCTGTGAGACAAGGGCTGCCTGACAAGAGCTGTGATAATAGGTAGGAGAATGAAGCCACCACCAAACACAGCCTGGGGTGCAGAAGCCAGGGGAATAAATACACTAATCTCTCATACCTCAGGACTTCTTATTTGCTGTTATTCCTTCCAAAGATGAAATCTTACCTGAAGCCAGAGGGCAGGTGAGCCTTGGTAACTGAGTCCATGGAGTCAACGTCCCAAGGCACAGAGCAGTGCAGAGAAGGGCAGAGTATGAATGGAGTGGGACTGAGACAGCCACAAACAGAGACTAACCTGCACCTTCTGCAACATGACTATGGAGTCCATGAGAATGGAGACTGTGCATGACTCATTTCTGTTCCATCAGCACTTAGGAGCAATGATTCAACAATTATTTTGTTGAATGAATGAATGTTTCAATTGAATGAGTTATTTTTTTCAGTTACATGCTAATGAAACAGATAATTGAGTGGCTATTAATGAATTTCTATTCATACAGATATATATAATACCAGCTATATGCAGGAAAGTTAGTTTTAATGGACTATTCACAGAGAAAACAATATAAATGCATATTAAAATAATATGCTCAATTATACTTCAATAAAGCTGAAAGAAAGAATAAATATAAATAAAATAATATAAAATCAAATTTCTGGCTCTGATTGGTTCACTGGAGAATTTTGCCAAGAAACAATCTTCTAATTAAGCAATCTGTCCAAAAATACAGAAAAGGATATACCACAGGTGGCAAACACAAGGCCCATGGGCCAAATCCAGCCCTTCATCTTGTTTTATCTGGCCTAGTACTTTGTTTCTATCTGATGGCAGTGCCAAGTTCTTCCTTAACTGTTAAGGAGTAGCTACATTTATATAGTCCTAAAATTACATTCGGCCCTTTGAAGGCAACTGTGAGGCTGATGTAGCCCCTGGTGAAAATGAGTTTGACACCCCTGGGATATACTACCAAATTTGTTTTATGAAGCAAATATATTTTTATATAAATGCTTAAAAACAACACTACCAAGAAATAAAATGATAAGTTAGTTTTATGAATATGGGCACAAAAACATTCTAAAAAATATGGTAACAAAAAGAATACAATACAACAAAACAGCTGTGAGCTAGGTATAAAAATGTTATGACCTTAAAAATACTTTCAACATAAGATATCACCTTAATGGATAAACTCTAAAAATTATATCTATTTATGTCCTCATAAAATATAAATTGAGTGCCTAGTATGTATCGGGCACTCTTCTAAGCACTGGGGATACAACAGTGAACAAGATGGACAAAAAACTTCGCTTTCTCACAGCTTCCATTCTCATGGGGGAGAAAGGTAAGTAAGGCAATAACTCACTAGAATAGGCTCATATGATGACAAGTGCTCTGAAGACTATAAGACAGCTATATATTAGAGTGTGACCATAGGTGAGTGGTCACATTAGATAAGGGTATCAAGAAAGGCCTGTCTGGGGATCTTTGAGCTGAGGCCTAATATTTCAAAAGATGGTAAGAAAACATTTCTTAAAATTGAAACCTTCCATTGGTTAAACAAAATAAAAAGGCATGGGAAATTTCCTTTCTTAACAGAATCATTATACAAACCTAAAATCAAGAGCCAGAGGCATTGGAGACACCCTATTTAAAACACAAATATGACACAATGTCTCTCATCAGGCTAAATTAAAATTATGGTAAAATGAGATTGAAGAAGAAAAAGAAATTAGTTATAAATATACAGAAGAAATAGAAATACCACTTCTCTAAAATGACAGGATTATATAAAGAAGTCTGTCATCAATATACAATTCATAAAAATTAATATGTTGAACAAAGTAATATAACTGACAAAACTCAGTTATATCACTAATAAGTGACACAAAGCTAAACAATATAACAAAAAAAAAGAGATTTACAATAATGACAAAATATTAAATACTTGGTTATTCACTCAATTTGAGAGAAAAATATTGAAAGAAAATTATAAAATATCACTGGAAAAAGCACAGGAAGACATGCATGCTATTTACTGAGAAGAAAAAATACTTGAGATATCAAATACTATAAATGTAGCTAGGTTTACACATAAGTTTAATACAGTACAAATAAAAGCCACTGAGAGAAATTTTATAGATTTTGACAAATTGCTAGAAAAAATTCTTCTGGAGAATACAATTACTATAGACTCATTCTTTAAGATTTTTAAACAATTCTAGTCAAAATGGAGGTGTAGGTAAACATGCTTGCTTCCTCACACAACTACAGCAAAAATTACAACTAAACTACAAAACAGCTATCACCCAGGACTGTGAGAAGATCGAGCTGTACAGAAGCCTGGCAACCAAGGAATTAAAGAAGTCACATTTATTCAAACAGATAGGAGGGGAGGAGATGCAGAGACACAGAGAGGCAGAGGCATGGAATGAGCAGTCCTACACCTACATGTGGTGCATAAAAATAAGAAGGATATCTAGGGAGTGAGGGATCCAGCTCCATACCAGACCACCCAGACCAGGGTTCCAGTGCCAGGGAGATAAGTCCCCATAACTTCTGGCTGCAAAAACCAGTGCGAGTGTGGGCAGTGGAAGAAACTGCAAGATTCACAGGTATCTCCTCTTAAAGCATCCTCAACAGACTATGACTTATGCAGACTCACTCTCTCTGGGCACCAGCACTGGGGCAGCAGCTTAAAAGGCAATAGTGGCATAACTGAAGTTTCTGGCATCAGGACAAGTGCAAGGGCAAAGCTTCCTCCTGGACAAAACTCCAAAGTACAGGCAGCAGCCATTGTCCCTTTTATGAGCCCTCACTAACAAAGAGCAACATATCTGAGATTCCATCAACCTGGTTCACAGTGGTTATCCCACCAAGGTGACTACCTTAGGCTCCCCACCCCTTTCTACTTATGGGTGTGCTTTTCTACATTAGGCCATGCTACTGAGAAAAGGAGTCAAAGCAGCTCTACCTGATACATAGAAACAAACACAGGGAGGCTGCCAAAATGTGGAGACAAAGAAACATGGCTCAAATGAAAGAACAGATCAAATCTCCAGAAAAAGAACCAAACAAAATGGTGATAAGCAATCTATCAGATGAAGAGTTCAAAACACTGATTATTAGGATGCTCAAAGAACTCATTAGGTATGTCAACAGCATAAAATAGACCCAGGCAGAAATAAAGTTTACACTAAGTGAACTAAAGAAAAAATTACAGTGGAGTGGATGAAGCTGAGAATGAAATCAATGATTTGGAACATCAGGAAGAAAAAATATTAAATCAGAACAGCAAGAAGAAAAAGAATCCAAAAAAATGAGGATAAGGTAAGGAACCCCTGGGACAACTTTAAATGTACCAACATTTGAATCATAGGGGTGTCAGAAGAGAAAGAGTAAGAAATTGAAAACTTATTTGAAAAAATAATGAAAGGAAACTTCCCTAGTTTGGTGAAGGAAATAGACATACAAGTCCAGGAAGCACAGAGAGTCCAAATACATTGGATGCAAGGAGGTCCACATCAAGATGCATCATAATTAAAATGCCAAAGGTTAAAGAGAGAGAATCTTAAAGCAGCAAGAGGAAATCAGGTAATTACCTACAAAGGAGTTCCCATAAGACTAACAGCTGATTTTTCAAAAGAAACTTTGCAGGCTAGAAGGGATTGGTAAGAGGTATTCGAAGTGATGAAAAGCAAGGACCTACAACCTAGATTACTCTATGCAGCAAAGCTATCATTTAGAATGGAAGGGCAGATAAAGAGCTTCCCAGACAAGGTAAAGCTAAAATAACTCATCACCAAGCCATTATTACATGAAATGTTAAAGAAAAAGAAGATCCTATTTAAGAAAAAGAAGATCAAAACTATGAACATTAAAATGGCAATAAATTCACAATTATCAACAATTGAATCTAAAAAACAAACTAAGCAAACAAGCAGAACAAAAAGAGAATCATAGATATGAAGATCATTTGGAAGGTTATCAATTGGGAGGGAGAAGGAGCGAGTGGGGGAAAAGATACAGGGATTAAAAAGCACAAATTGAGGCCTTGCAGATGCCACAATCTTGCACCTTCCCATGCCCAGCCATAGTCAACCCCACCATGTTCTTCAACATCACTGCTGACGTCGAGCCTTTGGGCAGCATCTCCTTCAAGCTGTTTGCAGACAAAGTTCCAAAGACAGCAAAAAACTTTTGTGCTCTGAGCACTGGGGAGAAAGGATGTGGTTATAAAGGCTCCTGCTTTCACAGAATTATTTCGGGATTTACGTGCCAGGGTGGTGACTTCACACACCACAACAGCACAGGTGGCAAGTCCATCTATGGGGAGAAATTTGATGATGAGAATTTTGTCCTGAAGCACACAGGTCCTGGCATCTTGTTCATGGCAAATGCTGGACCCAACACAAATGGTTCCCAGGTTTTCATCTGCACTTCCAAGACCGAGTGGCTGAACAGCAAGCATGTGGTGTTCGGCCAGGTGAAAGATGGCATGGGTATCTTTCACCTGGTGGTAACTCGTGGACCCATAGTGTTCCACAAATGGCAACACCAGTAAGATGATCACCATCACTGACTGTGGACAACTCTAATAAATTTTACTTGTGTCTTATCTTAACCACCAGACCATTCCTACTGTAGCTCAGGAGAGCACCCCTTCACCCCCGTCTGCTTAGAATGTTCCATAATCTTTGTGCTCTCACTGCAGTTCATTGGGTTCCGTGTTTTCCTTACCCCTTCCAAATCTAGTTGGTTTGCAGAGTTAAGTTTATGATTATGAAATAAAAACTAAACAACAACAAAAGAAGTCCAAATTGGTAGATACAGAGTAGACAGGGGGTGTTAAGAACAGTATAGAAAAGGGGGAAGTTAAAGAACTTATATGCATGACCCATGAAAATGAACTAAGAGGTTATTGCTGGAGGGAATGGGGGTATCAGGTGGAGAGAAGCAAATGGGAAAACTGGACAACTGTAATAGCATAATCAATAAAATTTATTTTAAAAATTTTTTAATTAAAATTAAATTAAAATATTTTAAACAATTATCAAAACTATATTTGGTTTTTAAATGCTAATGACACATTAATATTCAGTAATAGAATTAATTTTAATAAATAAACATATGGCTATCCATAAACTATTATATTATAATAAACAATTATTATTATAATAAACAGTCAAAGCTCATCCTCCTAAATAGAAAAATAGGTAAGCAAGTGTGATATGCCACCATAATGTACTTACATATTGTGGATTGTTTCCACTTTTTAGCTAATATAAATAATGTTCCTATAATCATTCACATGAATTTTGTGTGAATGTTTTCATTTCTCTTGGATATGTACCTAGAAATGGAATTTGTGGGTCATAACTCAATGTATAATTGTTTAAGGAACTTCCAGGCTGTTTTCCCAAAGAGCTGCACCATTTTCCATTTACACCAGCAACATGAGAAGGTTCCAGTTTTTCTACATTGTCACCAACATTTATTATATTTATATTATTATTATTGTCATTCTAGTAGGTGAGAAGTGGTATCTTATTGTGGTTTTGACTTGCATTTTCCTAGTGGCTAATAATGTTGTACATCTTTCTGGGTGCCTGTTGGCCATCTTTGGGTACCTGTTGGTACATCTTTGGAGAGATATGCATTCAGATCTTTTGCCCATGTATTAATTGGGTAGGTTGTCTTTTTATTGTTGCATTGTAAGCATTGTTTATATATTCTGAATGCTCAATCCTTATCAGATAAATGATTTACAAATATTTTCTCCCATTTTATGGATTGTAATCTCACTTTCTTGATTTTGATATTTGTAGGATAGTTTTTAATTTTAATGAAGTACAATTTATCTATATTCATTTCTTTTGGTGTTGTTAAGTTCCAATTAGAGAAAAAAATGGATTATATACACTTAGAGAAAAGTGACTGATGGGAATAGCAGACTAGAGCTGCATCCTGTATAATGCATTAGAGGTTGTTTAGTCCTGGTCTATGTCTGAGCTACAAATAACTTTCTATTCTCAAGATTAATCCTTTAATCTATTGCACCTGTTCATTTAACAATATGCCCTAGATATTACTACATCTTAAGCATTTTGCTAGGAGCTTGGGATATAAAAATGAAAGGCAGTCCCTGTCCTCAAGAAGCTTTATGTGTGTAACCACATAATTACAACACTAGGTATCACTATGAGAACAATTTTAGAGACTGTGGAAGAGCTCAGATTATGGAGAGAACACATCTAGTTGGAGATTTTCATAAATACTACTTTAGCTGAAATAATTTTAAACCATGGGGAAAAATAACCACCACTAAAGCAGGAAAAAAAAAAAACAACATAGCCACTAAAAAAATAACAGTTAAAGGAATGCTGAAGTGAGAGGGAATTTGTAGATGCCCTGTCTAAATTCAAACAGTGCAGGGATGTTTTGTTTGTTTTTTGAGATTTTATTTTTTATTTATTTTTAGAGTCGGGGAAAGGAGGGAGAATGAGAGGGAGAGAAACACCGATCAGTGGCCTTTTACATGCCCCCAACCAGGAACCTGGCCCTCAACCCAAGTATGTGTCCTGACCGGGAATTGAACCAAAGACCTTTCAGTTTGTTGTATGATGCCCAACCCACTGAGCTACACCAGTCAGGGCTAGCTTTTTCCCCCTGAAACACACAGTCTTCATTTTGATCTGCATATCTGAATTGGTACAGCCAGGTATTCATCATTATACTCATTGCTGCTGAAACACAGCCAATTCTTCCTTATTAGAAAGTTAAAATTACCACGGGCACCATACAGTTATGTGTTCAAAAGTTCTCCTTGAATGAGAGCTAATGAATCTCTGGAGTTCAAATATTCACTCAACAAACAGTAATGGGCTCCTGCTGTGTACAGGTACAGTGGGAGGAGATAGGAGAGGGAAATAACCATGAATAAGACAGACATGCTTTCTTCCCTCTGAGAGCACACAGTCTGGTGGAGAAGACTGAGACATAAGTGGACAATTGTAACACAGTGTAATAAGGAAAGTACTGTGTGTGTGTGTGTGTGTGTGTGTGTGTGTGTGTGTGTGTGTGTGTGTTTGAGAGAGAGAGAGAGAGAGAGAGATGAAAAATGAATAGGAGTTATCCAGTTAAAGACAGGAGCTAGCAGCAAGAAATTCTAGACAGAAAGGAAAATATTGACAAATGAGAAAATAAGGTCCTTGAGGAATGGAACGATTAGGCAATGCAGGGTAGGGAAGGGGTGGGTGTGGGAGAATGAGAGATAAAGCTGGAGTAGAAATAGATCATAAAGGCATGGCAATTGGGTTTGACATAATCGTTTTTATATTTTAGATTATCTGGTAGCTGTGAGAATATGTAGGATATGTAGAAAGGAAGCAAGACAGGAGACTGAGAAACTTTTTCTATTGAATTTGTATTGAATTCTAAGCAAGATGATGACAGTACCTTAGGGGGGGCAGCCAGAAAAATAGAGAGAAATAGAAATGCTTAGTGGATTAGAGAGATTATTTAAAAGGTAGAATCAACAAGACAGGGTGAGTAATTGGATATAGTGGGTGAGAAAGTGTATTAGGATTATCCAGAGAAACAGAACCAATAAAATACATACAGATATATAAGAGAAGATTTATTATAGGAATTGGCTCATGTGATTATGGAGGCTGAGATATGCTATGCCATCTGCAAGATGAAAAATGAGAAAACTTTGTAGTACAATTCACATCCAAAGGCCCAAGGACCAAGAGCTCCAATGTCTGAGGACAGGAGAAGGTGGACATCCCCCCTCAGCGAGAGAGAGACAGAGAGAGAGAGAGAGAGAGAGAGTTCACCCTTTATCTGCTTTTTTTTTTGTTCTATTGGGGTCCTCAATGGATTGGATGATGAATTGATCTTTACTCAGTCTACTGATTCTGTTGGTCTTAAACAAAGAAAGAGCCAGATATTTTTCCAACAAAATGGGTTTATTCAGGAACAACAAAGAATTGCAATTCTGGATAAGTGGTCTCATGGTGAATCATGTGGAAGTCCAGAGAACAAAAAAGAAGAATCTTCTTTTATGCGGGAAAGAGGGAGTTCAGAGGGACTGTTGTAAACAGAGTCCATTAGAGAAAACTGGAAGTTTGAAGTGTAGTGGCTTTTCATTGACTGAGTTATAACACTATTTCATTGGCTGAGTGGTTGTAAGATGAGCAGATTTTCTTCCTGCTGGAGTAGTAGAGTAGAAAAACACCTTGCTGTTGAAGATGGAAAGTAGGTCTCTTCCTGTTTGGGGTAATTGGTGATGAGTGGTAGGGTGTGTGAGCTCCTCCTACAGGCCCTCCCAAGTCCAATGTAAATGAGGTTTCTGTCTATTAATCTTCACAATTTAAATTCTAATCTCTTCTGGAAACACCCTCACAGACAACTTAGGAAATACGGTTTTGGCAGCTGTCTGGGCATCCTTTATCCCCATCAAGTTGACACATAAAATTAATCATTAAAGGAATAGAGAGAGGGAGGGGGAGATGGAGAGACTGAGGGGGTGGTGGACAGAGAGAGAGAGCTCACATTTGATGCCTACAACAAGGCCTCCAGCAAACCCTGGTCGAAGTGCTGGGAAGACACAAGGTGTTCATGATCTAGTTCCTGTCCTCAAGGAGATGTTAATGTCACCAGCAGAGCTGCTGGCACACCCTGTTTTTTTGTGTAAATTAGAAATGGTGCTACCTCCAAGCAGTGATTGTCAGGTGGATTTCAGCTCCTATTTGCCCCTGCAGCCAGCCACCTTTATGTAAGGCACAACACGAACAATTGTATTTGGCAGTTCTGCTATCAGAAAAGAAGCGCAACCTTGGCTGGTGTGGCTCAGTGGATTGAGTGCTAGCCTGTGAAGCAAGAGGTAGCTGGTTCAAATCCCAGTCAGGGCACATGCCTGGGTTGCAGGCCAGGTCTGCAGTAGGGAGTATGTGAGAGACAACCACATACTTGTTTCTCTCCCATCTCCCCTCCCTTCCCCCCACTCTAAAATATATATAAATAAAATATTTTTTAAAAGAAGCACAAACCACTCAAATACAGGGTTAGAAGAGATTGATACTGTATGTACAGTACATAAAGTCCTCAGAAGAGAGGGAAGGAGTGAAATGAAAGTAGAAATTGAACCTGGCCCTGTCGACAGGGTAGGGTTTTCATAAGTGGAGATGAGGATGGGTACAGGGCAGAATGTGAAACATTTTCCACAAAGAATGAGACAAAAATTGAAGCAAATTGAAGGAATAATGGTAGTTCAGTTGGCAGCAGCACTAATTACAGAAGTGGCTTTTTTTCAGCCATCTTTTCACAGCAGAACTCCTTCTTAGAGCATGAAAAAAGTTGGCTTGGTTGTGCACATACTCATACACACACATGTGTATGCATTTGCTTATACATAAATACCCACATGCACACATACTGAAAACCCCATAGAAATTCTCCATTTTTCCTTCCTCTCTTCTATCTTTCCCTTCCAAAGCACTTTCTAGGAAAACACATGTTTATTGGAAATAACTAAGGAGCTACTTTGCTGTTATCCAT